AGTGGAAGTAATTGAAATTCATTTTAGTGTACAGAAGTAGCTCAGGAGGTAAAGCAAGTTGTCCAGTTATCGGAAGGTTGCAGGTTCAATCCCGGTTGAAGGTTGCAGGTTCAATCCCGGTTCCTGCCAGAGAATGCTGCTGTTGTATCCTTGGGCAAGACACTTAAACCCACCTTGCCTGCTGGTGGTGGTCGGAGGGACCGGTGGTGCCTGTCCTCGGCAGCCTCGCCTCTGTCAGTGTGTCCCAGGGCAGCTGTGGCTACATCGTAGCTCATCACCACCAGTGTGTGAATGTGTGAATGACGTGTGATGGAATCATGTAAATGTTTACACTGACATTAACTCAGGAGTTGTGTTAAAGGAACATTTCCACCGTTTCCATTATGCAAGAATCAAAACGTCATCCTCAGTAGTTCCTGGTTATGAACGGTGTGACGCGGGATTGACTCCGGGTTGTTTTCCTTTGGCGTTGCTCTTTGGAGTGGATGTTGAAGGCGATCCTACTTCTGAAATCCACTTTGCAGAAATGCTTCATTTCCGTTGAGTGACTTGATCCAAAAAGCTGACTTGGGTCTCGTATTTTTGTCAGATGTGAAATTTCAGGATGAACTCAGTGGAATGAGCGTAAGGGTGAAGTGTTGTTGGAGGCGTTCAGGTCGTGTTCCTCTCCTCCTGACTGAGTTTTCATGTTCAGACTTGCGCCGTTACTCACACCTCATTCATTTACCTCCAGACTGACTCCAGAATCTTCTGCTTCCTCTGCTCTGACGGACGTGGTGACCACAAACCCTCTGAGGGTTTTAGCCTGAGGACGAACGGAGACGACCAGCAGCATCTGCTGCTTCTATTTAAAGCAAACGACTAAATAAAAACAGGTTTTCTTTGTTTTTATGTTTTGACTGAAGTTTGTTGAAATATCCTGTTTAAATCTCAGCTTCAGACGCCGGTGATATTTATTTCCTGTTGAGTTAAAACTGATGAAGGCGTCGCCACACCCCACTACCAGCACACACACATAGTCTGGATTAATCTCTCTGATATGCAGACGCTCGTTACAACATCACCGTTTCATCACATAACCACGTCTGACCGGCAGCTCTTTGTTTGGGTGATTTCTCAGATCTGAGATCAGTTTTAGGGAATCTTCCTGTAAAACCTTTTTAGCCGGCCGGATCAGCTGACCCAGCAGCTGTAACCAAACCGGTTCTGAATCCTTGAGATGCTGTTTGACTTGATCTTTATTCTGAGATGTCCTAAGCCTCCAAAGCTCCAAGTCTCTTGTACAAACAAGTTGAACCTGATTTTTAAAGCCGTCTGAGATTCAGTTCTTCAGCATTTCTTTACCTCCATCTTCTGCTGAGCTTCTTGGATTTCTGTGGACTCCCTTCACTCTCACACGTTACTGACATTTACTCTTTAAAGTGACTGTGTGTATTTTTCTTGGCGATAGGGGGCAGTAGATGCCTAAATCGTCTCAAGCAAGCAGTATTTTTGTGTCGGGGTAAGACCTTACTAACAGATGCCCATTAGGGTCAAAAAGCCCTGGGGAGTGCAAACTTTAGCAAAATAACGCGCACATCACTCCCTTTCATCACTGCGACAAGCGACGAGCTAAATGTGTAAAACAACATTTAAGAATGACAAAAGTTTTGTAACTGTTTGTTGCCAATCAGTAAATGCATTTTGTCCTCATGGGCTCCCGTAGAAGGTGTTTCTCAATGTCAAAACGCCTTGCTTACGAGGACACGGTCCTTCCTTGGTCAAAGAAAACGGTTAAATGGAACAGACTTGCATCACGTGACCACCGTGGCATCCACGGTGGTCACATAACCTCACGTGACACGGGAGACATTATATTTTATACGTATTAGTTTCAATATAAATATATAACGAGCCTTTTACTTTTTAAATTGTGTTTGTTTATTAAATTAAAAATATAAGTGAGTTACTACCCGCTAGCCACCGAAGCTGCTACTACTAACCAACTAACCAACCATAGATAACTTCTTTGGATGTAAAAACATTTTAAATTAGATGATTTACTTTTAAACTTAAATTGTCCCCGAAGTGGCTGCCGGCTTCTGATCCGCCGTCCTTTTGAAAATACCGCGGTGTATTCTGGGTAATTTTTGACCAAGGCTAGGCTACAAGACACTTCCTGTGTATCCTCGCTCAGCTAGCTAAACGGCCTACAAACGGAGATCACACGCCTCGGTAGAACATGAACATTGGAACATGTCTTGGCGGCTCCTGATGACGTATCTCCTAGGCTAGTGGTTCCTAACCTGGGGGTCCCGACCCCCACAAGGGGGCGCCAAAGCCTCTCAGTGGGTTGCCAGGACCTCTCCATTTTCAGGGGTTAAAACTTCATTTATTACTTGTTTATAGCCTACATTGTGCTCACATTTTTTTCCTGAGTGAAAAGTTTATTGATATTAAGACTGGAAATAATTAGTACAGAAAGAGTAACACATTTTTAAGAACATTTTGTTCAGCTCACTGTTTTATTTTCTAGTGTCAAAAGTTAATTGAAGATAGGACTGGTTGATTAATCACAGCGTTTACAGTAAATAATCTAGTATAAACAGTAATATACACATTTAAGTACATTTTGCTCAGTGTATTTTTTATGTGTCAAACGTTTGTTGAAAGGATTGATTGATTTTTCAGTGTTTACAAGAAACAATGTGTTCAGAAAAGTCATACAAACTGTCAAGCACATTATGCTCTGTTTGGTTTTGTTAATGACTTTGTTCTGTACTGGAGCCTACTATTACTGTTATCTTTGGAATCAAAGCATATTAAAATGTGCTTGAATAATTTAATCATTTCTTAATACTGTTTGTACTGGAAGAGAGAATGGGAGGGGGTCGTCAAAAATTTTACTGGTAAAAAATGGGGTCCCTTGGGAAAAAGGTTGGGAACCACTGGTCTAGGCAACCGGAGCGGGGCCAAGACATCAAGGCAAGGTTCCTTGGCATTGATAAACACCCACAGACCCGCTCCCATGTGTTTTAGACCTGATTTTTATGGTTATATGTTACAAAGCCGCCAATACTTTTCAACAATTGGGCATCATGTCATTCATTTTTAACATTTTGATTAATATTTCCAGAAATTAATGGTGAAATCTGCACACTGTCTCTTTAATTGATTCACTTGTTGTGAGTCTCTTCGTGTTTGGTTGTAGGTGATGTTTGAAATGTTTAAATAAGACTAATGTCATAACGTCTGTGGGTGGAAATGAATAAATGAAGCAAAGGTCTTGATTAAAGGATTGATGTAACGACTGAATCTATGACTGCAGACATCCAGCAGGACTTTAGGAGGAAATGGCAGCATTTGATTTAAATTAGTCAGCAGTTTAGAGTCTGCTGACCTTCAGGAGAAACTTTAGCTCAGATGTTAACGGGCGATGAACGAAGAGCCGACGAGGTGGTGAAACATTCATGTTTATCATCTGGTAGCTTCTCACCAGTCTTCATTTTTAACACCTCCAATAATTAGAGGTGTGAATGTGCAGGTGTTGTGTTCACTTACAAATGAAAGGTCAAGTCCGTTCTAATTTTAGATCATTTGGCTTTTTACTTTGATTTCTCTTTTGTATTAATAACTATGCTTTTACTGCGTCCTAATTTAGCATCGGACTCAAATTTGGTTTTAGGGTTTCAGGTGGGATTAAAATTATGAGGACTTAAAGGGACTTTACGGACTTTTGAATTTTTATGCTCGCGATTGCCCCCTCAGGCCAAAAGCGTAACGACAGCTTAAATAGGAGGCTCGTGCACGAGGCGCGCATGCTGTACGTGCACACTCCTTAACGAAAATAACAGCTGAGACGTGTGTGTGTGTGTGTGTGTGTGTGTGTGTGTGTGTGTGTGTGTGTGTGTGTGTGTGTGTGTGTGTGTGTGTGTGTGTGTGTGTGTGTGTGTGTGTGTGTGTGTGTGTGTGTGTGTGTGTGTGTGTGTGTGTGTGTGTGTGTGTGTGTGTGTGTGTGTGTGTGTGTGTGTGTGTGTGTGTGTGTGTGTGTGTGTGTGTGTGTGTGTGTGTGTGTGTGTGTGTGTGTGTGCGCGCGCCCGTCCGTCCGTCCGTCCGTCCGTCCGTCCGTCCGTCCGTCCGGGAGGACCGAGGACAGGAGAACGTGCAGCTAATTAAATAATGTGGTTCTGTAGCTTTCTCTTCAGCACAGCCGACAAAGGTTTATGATGGGTCAGTCCTCCTGCATGCTCAGATCATTCCCTTCCCTTGCTTGAAAAATTGTTCCAAAATGAAAGTTGAACCCACATCTTTTTTATCTGTGAATTCAATGCCGTTCGGCGAGTCTCAAATAAAAATTTGGGCATCTTACTGTAAAAAAATATACCATTAATGTAAAAAAGAAACACTAAATAAAACATGTTCACATCCAAGATCAAACCCAGGTTTTCTGCATGAAAGCCCGAAGTCTTACTATGTGAGCTAAAGCGCCAGTGACATCATCTGTATCTGGAATATTTATATCTGTGATGACAGCTGAAACAACGTACAAAGAACGGTTCGGAGGGCTATGCCTGAGCGTGAACGCGCATGAAGCAGCCTGCTCGACCCGAGCATCTCTCTTTTTCTGTGATTTTACAGAAAAACAGGCAATCACAGTAAAAATACCAGGGCTCATTCTACAGGACCAGGGCATTGCAGGAGAATGTATGCAGAAGACATTTATTATTTCTATACATGTTTTGGCCGTCAAACTTCCATAATGCCCCTTTAAACATCAGTTTCACATTTAAATAAGAGAAGGGACTAAGAACCGGCTCACTCATCACGATCATCACGCCATTCTTTGGCCCGCCTTCCGATCGGACGATCTTATGGATGCGTCCAATAACCCTAATGGCAACACCCTTTCTAGCCAAACGAGCCAAAACGGGAAGTGTTGTGCTTGGTTGGTTGTTTACGTTGATGGAGTTGACGTGACTTTTAAGATACGGTGAAGCTTTAACGTTTTTGTTTATTTTCAGAAACTTGAGGCTCTAAGATGAGTCGGCAACGCGTCGACTCGCAGGGCTCCATCGGGCCGAACGATGAGGTCATGCCGTACAGCGACGACGAGACGGACGATGAGCTGGACGACGAGACCTCGGAAAGTGAAGCGGAGGCGGCGCCGGAAGCCCCTCAACCTCCGATGGAAACGAGACCCCCCGGTGGGTTCAGGCAGCTGACCCGTTTACGTTCATCTCCTAGATCCCGTCTCCGTAAACTCCTAAAATAATCACGTTGTTTTTCAGTGGTTGGGTGGAAGGTGAAGGCTAACGACAGAGCTTACCATCAGCTGCCCGAGTTTAAGAAGAAAATCTTCTTGTGCATAAAGAAGAGCCGATACTCCGTAAGTGAAACAACCCCACCGTGTTGTTGGTTTGGACCAGCAGACCAACTCTCGTGAATCGATTCTTTAGAGCATCAACTTCAGACGTTTAAGACAAGTCTGGTGGGAAGAAACTTATGTTTCCGTCTTTCTGTCGTTGAATTTTCAGGAACTGATTGGAAAAGTTAGGAAATGGTTCAGAACTGTTCAGATTCAGGTCAAAGTTACACGGAGCCACTCCAGAGAGGCTGAAGGACCTTGTATTGCTTCAGAGCCACAGATTGGAGAGCCTAAACCCTCCTGATGAACATGTTGGGAACTTTTCTCATCAGAAGTTGTAAGAATGTCATTAAATACAAGTGAAAGCTGGTTTAGTCCAGCCAGCAGGTGGAAAACTGTGATTCCCCGAGGGACTCCGTCCAGCCGTTGGTGAGGTTTGGGTTCTCCAGCAGCCGGAGAGCACGAACGTTTAAGGTCAGACTCTGGGTGTAATCGGCCTTTGTGAAGACCGAAACCTGATCGCCCGGTTGAACTGGTGTAGTCTCCCCAGCAGACACGTTAGACGCAGCAGGAGATGACGGAGGGCAGGTGGACAGGGTTTAAATGGTTCTGGACCTCCATCCAGCTGTCTGTTCTGTGGCTCTGCACCAAAACCAGCTTCTGATCTTTTAGAAAATGGTTCATTTGAATCTGTTGTTCCACAGACCGCCTAAAGGTCTTTGGATGTTTTCTGATTCAAGGGAACCTGGGAACATGAGAACGTGGTGCAAAAGTTCTTTTTCCGCTTCTTTTTGCCATCTACTTACTACCGTTGGGGAATGTTCTTCGGCGGTTCGGCATGCGTTTTCATTTTTATGCTGACGACTGTCAGATCTACCTCCCCCTTCAGCGGGGGGTTGATGGGTCAATATCAAAACTTGTAGATGCCTTAGAGGATGTGCGCTCCTGGATGGCTACAAACTTCTTACATTTGAATGACGCCAAGACTGAAGTAATTGTACTCAGCCCTGGTATGTCTACACGCCCATGCGATGCTGTGAATCTGGGCCCTTAAGCATCCAACATGAAGACCACCATCAGAAATTTGGGGTGTGCAACTGGACTCAGCCCTAAAATTTGACGCGCAAATCAACCAGGTTGTGCGATCGTGTTTTTTTTAACTTACGCCGACTAGCCAGAATGAAGCCCCTGCTGTCCAGAGTACATCTAGAGACTGTCACACACGCTTTTGTTCTTTCAAGGCTCGACTACTGCAATGCACTGTACGCCGGCCTTAGTCAGGGTGCGGTAGCACGCTTGCAGTTAGTACAAAACTCAGCCGCTAGGTTCGTGACGGGCACTAGGCGCAGGGAGCATATCACCCCTGTGTTGGCATCCCTTCATTGGCTGCCTGTGCGATACAGGGCAAAATTCAAGGTCTTGGTGCCAGCCTACAGGGCCTTACAAGGAACGGCTCCAGCATATCTTGGCAACCTTTTGCATAGGCATGCCCCCTTGCGGGCCCTTCGCTCAGCCGGCAGGGAGCTGTTGATCGCTCCACGCACTAGTGCAGGTCACGGGGGGGCCGTGCGTTCTCTGTGTTGGCACCTGCACTTTGGAACCAGTTGCCTTTGGTGGTGCGTCAGTCACCCTCATTGGGGGGTTTTAAGACTCGCCTTAAGACCCATTTTTTGTCAAGGCTTTTCAGGTTTAGCTAATTTTACCCAGTTTCGATGCCCCGGCCTCTTAATCTTTCTCTGGATTTTATTTTTTGCTTTTACTCTCCTCTTTTAATTGATTTTATGCTGATTTTACGATTGTTATATTTTATTCTGATGGTTTTGTGTTTTTATTGTGTTGTGTTCAGCACCTTGGGCGTCTGCATTGGTCGCAGAAGGGGCTTTATAAATAAATGAAAAGAAACAATAAAATGAAATGTATGTCCGTAAAACGACCTAAAAGGTGAAACTAACCTGTGAGACACTCATTCCATGCTAATCCAGATATTCCAACCTTTGTTAGAATTGTGATTGTGGCTTACAGCTGCCAAAAACCCCACATTCAAAATCCCACCCTAGTGAAAAGGTTCAGTATTCTAGACCTTAAGTGCCACACTGTGATCGGCTAATGAATCCAGAACACCTGCAGAGGGTTCCTGAGCCTTTGGAGGGTCTCTCAGTCTAAGCTGGATTACTGAGATTAAAGGACGTTTGCATCAGATTCTTGTTTTTCCAGGTTCTGCTTTGATTAATTTCAAAATCCAAGAAGTTGCTGAAGTTGTACTAAAAGTGACGCAGAAACCTCGGATAAACTGAGGGGAATGTTTGCTTTGATTTCTAAATCTAAAATGGGACCATGATTAAAATTTTTATGCTAAATATTTAAATTTCTCAAGTCTTATTTTGTACTTTATTGTTAAATGTTGTCGTCCAACAGTCAGAGCTGCAATGTTGCTGCAGCTGAAACTTCCCTATCCCTGACTCTTAATGGTGTTTAAATGCAAATTTACAGTTGAAATCACTCTGAATCGGTACTTTAGTCGCTCACCGGTCACAAAGGACTTACACCATTATTAATTAATAGTAATGGTCATGTTATAATCTGACAGTGACCTACTTATGTGTTTCTCTGCAGGGAAATGCTATTAAAACCTACAAGTACAACGCCCTGACCTTCCTCCCTCTCAACCTGTACGAGCAGTTTAAGAGGGTTGCCAACATCTACTTCCTGGTTCTGCTCATCTTACAGGTTTGTCTAATAAAACATGTATTTTTTAATTTTATGGTTTAAATCACAAGGACTGATAAATATATGCAACATCTTAGAGTATACCAGAGATCACCACCCTGCCCTGGTACACCACGCTGATTCCTCTGGTCATCGTTTTGGGAATTACCGCCATCAAAGACCTGGTGGATGACCTGGTAGGACTTCAGCTCGTCCAATATTCTGTTCAGTCTGGTTCGGGATTAATTTTAATAAGAGATCTTTTAAATACTTTTTATTTCCCAGGCGCGACACAGAATGGACAAGGAAGTCAACGGCAGGAAGTGTGAAGTTCTCCTGGATGGCAGGTCAGGAACACAACTCATTGAGATGAATCTACTTGAGAGGTGACAGAATAAAAAAAAGATTATTTTATCTCTGCCTCAGGTTTCAAGACTCAAAATGGAGGAACATCCAGGTTGGAGACGTGGTTCGCCTCAAGAAAAATGACTTCATTCCAGTAAGATGGTTTTGTTTTGAAAATATTTCACTTGACAAGCTTGTTTAAAAATAAGTTATTTTAGATGTTTGTTTTTTTGTGGTCCTGTGGAGAGTTTATGAACAGCCTCAGTTTAGGGAAAAAGATGAGTGGAGATTCAAGGCTACTGCTAGCCTAAGATGGCCCAAGACCAAACTGCTGCTGCAAAACAAATCCAAAATATTTATCTTGACTTGAGCTGTCAGTCGTCTAAAATTATCTCATTAGTTTTGTAGTTTACTCACAACTAATCTTCCATTAGGTTAGAAAAACATATAGAGCTGGGTGATATGGCATCAAATCATATATCTGTATATAGATATATATATATAGATGGATAGAGATAGAGATAGATATAGATATATATATAGATGGATAGAGATAGATATAGATATATAGATATATATACATATAGATATATAGATGTATTTAGAGAGATATACATTTACATATAGAGATATATGAGATATAGATAGATAGACCTACCTTTCAAGTAATTTTAAGGCATGTTATGAATCTTCAAACAATACAATATTAGGCTGAATTAGAGGACAGAAGGGAGAGAGAGGAAGTGGCAGAAAGGGCTGAAACTGCGATGGAAGGTCCCGACTAACTGAAGTTGGGAAGCCTGTGAATTATTCAGGCATCAGGGAGAACATGAGGCGAGGTGCTTTTAGCCTGTTTGCTTTGACAGCCCTGCTATAAACCGCTGCATGTTCATCAACTTCACACCTCAGCCAAACAAAAATGAGATCTGTTTGGACACATCGAAATCGGTGCATCGCTGTTAAAAGCTGCAGGTTATAGCAAATGGTAACAAATAATAACGTGAAGTGGTGAAATAATAAATGTTGTGTGAACATTATTGCTATCAAACTAAAGAAGTTGCTGTTTGGGATGTAAACCAGCAACCGTCAGTAACAAACAGACTGATTATTTACATTCCTCTCATTCAAGTTGCTGCATAAAAAAAAATCTTGGTTTCATATAAAGAAGCGAGAATCTTAAGCAAACCAGAACTTTTGTTCATTTTTACCGTATATTTTGTGACTACATGTTTAAACTGCTTGATGATTAAATATCTTCAGGTTACAAATGATGAAATTCACAGGTTTGATGCTTTTAATGCGAAAAGGCCTTCCTGTAGCATCATCTTAACACGCGTTTGGAGTAGGGCCTGGCTGCAGACATTGGCTGGCGTGTCACCGGAAGAATTTTCTAGCAAGAACAAGATGGCATGTCATTGCTTTTACCGGAAAATCGACGAGTGAAAGACCTCGGCCGGAAGTTGGTCTTTTTTGGCGGCCGCTTCTGTTTCAACCATACTGAGTAGGACCTGGCTGCAGACATCAGCTGGCGTGTCGCCGGAAGAACTTGTCTTGTTTTACCGGATACGTCATTTCCTGTCACGGCAAAGACGCCAGCTGATGTCTGCAGCCAGATGCTTGTGCGCGTTTGGGGCTGGAGACTTAAGATTTTAGCAAACATTTCAGATGAATTTCACAAGTGGATAAATAATAAAAGTAATGAATGTTTATGCACACCTGAGGCTTAAACTCAGCCGAGCGTTTAACCTTTTGTCTTTCTCCTCAGGCCGACATCCTGTTGTTGTCCAGCTCTAACCCAAACAGTTTGTGTTACGTAGAAACAGCCGAGCTGGACGGGTAAGATCCCACATGCTTATGAGATTTTTAATACTTGGTGTTTTTGATGATTAAAGTCAGTAGTTTGCCGTTATCTTTGAATGACTGAGTTTATTTGACTGTTGTGTTAACATGTTACTCAGCAGCAAGTGAGGGTAAATATTAAGGGAACAGCAGGTTGGCTCCTGTAAGCTTCGGTTCAGGTTCTGTTGGTTTATTCAGTGATTGGAGTGGAACATGAACCCGAGTCTGCTTAAACAAACTGTAGACGTGTTTCATGGGAAAATCCTCTTCTGCAAATTAAACCATGTTCAGAATCCACCCGTGACTTTTAAATGTTTAGATTTTAAACCTGCAACACCAGAGAATCCATTTTATTTTACCGAATGTGCAGAGGATATTTATTTCATTTGAATTATTTCCATAAATCCTCGCTTGTTTCCTTTTGCAGGGAAACCAACCTGAAGTTTAAGATGGGCCTGCGGGTGACGGACGAAAGGCTGCAGGAGGAACAGGAGCTGGCCGAGTTTAACGGTAAAAACCACAGATGCGTCATAGTGAGGGCCTATTTTCTTTTTATTGTTGGTGGTGGAGGGGGGGGCATAAATGTCAGTTTATTACAGAAATTCATGATTAGTAAACCTTTAATTTATTACATGAGGGACATTTTGCCAGAACGTCAGTAAATGAAGTAAAACCACTAAATAAAAACATATTTAATTGTTCGTAATGCGTATTTGTATAAAAGGGATTGAAAAGTAAACAAGGCTTTATTTTAAAACAGGGTATCTGCGGGTCCTTTAAAAGTCTTAAATTAGCTTTTCCAAATTTAAGGCCTTAACAATCCTTAAAAATAACAAATAATCCTTAAATAGAGTTTCCAAAGGTCTAAAATTACCGACGACCCAACAAACAAGATTCTTTTGTTTCTATAAAATTTGGTGAATTTCTAGTTAGTGTTCAGCATTTTTTGTGTACGATGTTGCCGTAAGCGAAACCGTACACATTCAGTTGGTTGTGAAAGGGGGCTATTTTTAGATGAGCACATTAGCTGGTTAAGCTAGGGGGAGCTTGCGCCATGGTAACTGGATGGCTAATCCCACGTTCTCGACGTGGTTAGCACCGGTTCCATGCAATAGCTGGAAATTGGAGTTTAAATTTAATTTTAAATAATTGCTTAAATTTGGTCAAAGTGGCCTTAAAAAAGGTCTTAAAAAGTCTTAAATTTGGCTCCCTTAAACCTGCAGATGCCCTGTAAATACAAATTAAGCCTCTGGAGGCAGGCGTTGCAGATTTGCAACGTTAAAACCTACCAACCTGGTTACTCCACACACGTGTCTCATGAGCATTTTAACTCAGAAGTTCCCCTGAAGGATTTAGTTGTTCGTCCTTAGATCAAAACTTATTTTGAGCCTGAGAGGGTTAAATTCAGGATTCTTTTCATGATTATACACAAACTAATAGCATATCATAAATGTACGTAGCATGATGTTTATAATGTCTTTATTACCATATGGGCAGACTAACGCACTTCCTTTATGCAAATATGTTTTATTGCAAACGACAAAACGTTGAATAGAAAGTTCTGCACCTCTAACGGAGCAGTGTGCTCAAAAGACCAATTCAATTCAAGTTTATAAAGCGCCAAATCACGACAAGAGTCGTCTCAAGGACCTTCGCACAGTACACATTCCAATACAGGTCAGGTCATTAAGCCGATCAGTAAAAAGTTTCCTGTGTAAGGAACCCAGCAGGTCGCATCTAGTCACTGACTAGTGTGTCTTTACAGTTCAATTCAATTTCAATTCAGTTTTATTTATATAGCGCCAAATCACAAGTGTCATCTCAAGGCACTTCACATAATAAACATTCCAATCCACACCAATCCTCATACTAGGCAAGCATGCAGCGACCATGGAGAGGAAAACTCCCTTTTAACAGGAAGAAAGCTCCAGAAGATCCTGGCTCAGATAGATCTATAGATGTATTTATCTTTTCTGATCAAATAGATTTGGTAGATTTGATATCAATAGATTTATCTATATATACATCGATATATCTATCAATCTATATATCCTCCCTCACCATGTAACCGTGTCTAATGTGGGAACATTAGGGTTCCTCAGGCCGACTCGGGAACCTCATGGTACTAATCGGCTTCTCTAACATTTCCTTGACCACTTCGCTCTCACTCGTAGCCCGTCGAAGCCTTTGCTGTGTTTGTATTTAGATGTTACTTTAAAACTTTGGTAACAAAAACTTCAACTCTGTGGTCCATGTAAATAACCTTTGTTTTATTTACACTGATGATGACATCATCAGCGTTTGTTCACTAAATATTTCATAAGTTAGCGGCGCTAAGGAAACTCTCTGATCCTAATCACTGGCTGAAAATCCTGTAAACGTTTGGATTTAACCCGTTTAAGGATGGCTGCCACAGGTTTTATTTAGTCGAGTTGTCCCAGTGAGGTCCCGACCCCCACTCTGGGAACCGTTCCCTCCATTTTTCTTCAGCTGTGAGGCGAACTAAGTCGTAATCAGAGGCGACATGATAGAAATGATGTTTCTAATGGGAGTCATTCAGTTGAGTCCACAGATGAATGTGTGACTCTTCACTCATTCGTGCCTGTTTTGTAGCCCTGATTGAATGTGAGGAACCAAATAACCGCCTGGACAAATTCACCGGGACAATGCAGTGGGCCGGGGAGCGTTACCCACTGGAGCTGGACAACATGTTGCTCCGAGGATGCAAGGTCCGAAACACAGACGTGTGCCACGGGCTGGTCATCTTCGCAGGTCGGTACCGCCTCAAGCCCCCTCATGTGGCTGTTGGAATGAATTTCAACATTTGTTTCGCTCTTTTTAATATAATTTTAAACGTTTTAAATCTGATCATTTCCGTAGGAGCCGACACTAAAATCATGAGGAATGGAGGCAAAACCAGATTCAAGAGGACTAAAATAGACGAGCTGATGAACTACATGGTTTACACAGTAAGACTTTAATTAGACTGTTTTCTTAAATATATTGTTTTTGTTTACTTTTTATGTCATTATTTATGGTTCTGCTTTAGGGTCCAGAGCTAAAATGAGGCCAGTGGTGATCAAATATGGCTACTGGCCCTGTGAAGGGTTTAAGCTCTAGCGTTGTTTGGTTCCTGTTTTTGTAGATCTTCGTGCTGCTCATCCTGGTGGCGGCTGGTCTCGCCATCGGCCACACGTACTGGTACCAGGACATCGGTTCTCGGGCCTGGTACCTGTATGACGGTAAACATCAGGATGCCGGCTACAGAGGCTTCCTCAGCTTCTGGGGGTACATCATCGTCCTGAACACCATGGTGCCCATTTCGCTCTACGTCAGGTACGTCTGGTTCAGCCCGAAGGGGACAAAAGGTTCTGATTGGTTGAGATGTGATGGGATCATGTTCAGTGGTTCCCAGGTGTGTGTGTGTGTTGATGGTTTAAATGATATTTTCTGTCCAGCGTGGAGGTGATCCGTCTGGGTCAGAGTAAATTCATCAACTGGGACCTGCAGATGTATTACCATGAGAAGGACACACCAGCAAAGGTTGGTATGTCATCATGGATCATCGACATTATTCACTAATTAACACAGTCTTTGTAAAATTATCTTTAAAATGTCTTAGACAAGCGCCCGCTTCATCGATAATCAGAGCAAATGTGGAGAATTTAAGTTGTTTTTACGAAAGTCTGAAATTGATTTTATTGATATAAATTAGTTTGTGTGAATCTTAATTAGGAGTCGTAAAATACTGTCTTTAAATTGGATTAAATGTGATTTTTAGTGTGTAAACCAGCCTCCACAAACATTTTATAACCACACCTTTTCTGTTTTTACACTTTAAAAGTGTGGTTCACCGAAAACTCATGTTTAATGATTATTTCTGATTCTAACGGGTCACTCTGAGTGCTTCATGCAGGCTGAACATGAAAATAGTCTCCTACACCTACCTCCTGCAGTAGCTTCTGATAGAAAACAGACGGTGAAACTCTAGGATAGAAAATCCTGACAGATCTACGTCACACTGTCACTAACATTCGTGCACTCACCCATCTTGGCTCTCGACGGGGGAGGCCGTTGTTGGTTTAGCGTCCAGGAAACTGCATAGAACGTCTCAGCTAGTAGAAGCTAACTGTTAGCATTAGCACCTCCACCACACAGCAGAACGTCTCCATGCTTGTGTTATTTGATAAAACATCAACGTTGAAGAACAAACTGAGTCGGTAGAGTTGTGTAGCCGTTAGCCAATCGGAAGAGAGATGGGGCTGTGCTCGGGAACATTTTGTGGTTTAACCCACCAATCAAACCCCTTAAAGCGGAGTGTCGAGCAGGGTGGCATTGGGTCCCATTTTTAAAGTGATGTGACCCGACCAGATATACACCCCGATCTCCCAGTCCCACGGCGGACACTCTACCACTAGGCCACGGAGACGTAAAAACACACCTAAAAAATGACATCAAATGATGTAAACACTAAAAAATTAAACCAATAGTCGGGTTCTGAAGGAAAATGGGTTCTTCTCTCCAGTGTCCCTGAAGTCATTAACTTTACATTTTCTCTCATCCGATTGGATGTTTTTGTTTGTTTTGCTTGCCCCAACGTGCTGTTGCACAGTTCCTGCCTGCATTTCTCATGTAGACGTTGTTCTTTTCCTTTGCAGGCCCGGACCACGACGCTGAATGAGCAGCTAGGTCAGATCCAGTACATCTTCTCAGACAAGACTGGAACGCTGACGCAGAACATCATGCAGTTTAAGAAGTGTACCATCGCCGGACGGAGCTACGGTACGACGTGTTAAATTCTCCAGAATAAAACCCCAAACTACGTTCTCTGATTATATTAAACAAACCTTTTATAATTTAAAGTGCAGAAATGGAGCTATAGTGACCCATCAGGAGGAAGGTTAGGGCAGCAGCAGCTCAGGAGGCAGAGCAGGTTGTCCACTAATCAAAGGGTTGTTGGATCGATGCCGGCAAAGAAAGCTGCTGTTGTCTTTGAGCAAGACGATAAACCCACCTTGCTGGTGGTGGCCGGATTGGCCGGTGGTGCCTGTGCTCAGCAACCTCATCTGTTATTGTGTCCCAGGGCAGCTGTGGCTACATCGTAGCTCATCACCACCAGCTTGTGAATGTGGTAGTCGTGTTGCTCTTAGCCAATCAGAGGAGAGATGTCCACATATCAGGGAATAGGACTCCGGATCCTGCTGTCTGAAGCTCAGCCGTGATGTGGCTCACTGCTAGGTCTAGAGCACGATTTACAAGACATTCATTCCTACTAGAGACCACTTAAATGAGTGAACCATGCCTTTAATGTTTCAAATATTGTCAATTTGTCTGACATATTTTTAACTGATACAATTTCAGTCAACAACAGAGTTGAGACAGAGGGACCCCGAGGTACAGTTGGTTACGATAGTCGAGGCATGGTGTGATGAACGCGTGAATAACTGTTTAAAAATCATTTTTTTAGAGCAAATGCTTAACCTTGAGAATCTTCCTTAAATGATAAAAACTAGCTTTGGTTATAGCACTAATTTGTTCGTCCAAAAGTAAGTCACTGTCAAGCTGGACTCCCAGATTGGTCGCTGCAGGTTTTAGAAATGGGGCCAGTGGACCAAGGTCAGCTGAACATGGCCCACTGGACATACATGACCTCAGTCTTGTCATTAAAGTGTAAAAAATTAGCAGATATCCAGGTTTTAACCTCACCGATGCAGTTTAGGAGAGGATCTAATGAGGTAGGCCACCTTTAATGGGAATATAAACCTGGGTGTCGTCTGCATACAAAAAAAACCCATTAGGTGATCCCAGTGGGGTGACCTGAACAAAGAGAGGGAAGACCCGAACTGAACAGGTTTTTTGTTTTATCTTTAAACTCTAAAACTGGACAGTCGAGAAAATTTCTGACATTTTAAAAGGCTGTGTTTAACTCTTTCAATGACTTTGGTTTTTATCTCTGCAGCTTTTTCAAATTGGGTTTAAACTCTTAATTATTTTTTCCCCCAACAGGTGACCCTACCACCTCTGAAGGAGTGTCGCTGGACAAAATAAAGGTGGGATTTTGAACTATAAAGTTTCAAAAACATTACTTTTGTTTATGAGATCCTATTGCAAAATAACCAGTAGAAGTAAAAAAAAAAATCCAGATCTCAGAAGAAAATGCCACAATCAAATTTTTTACATATTCATCTTGAATAAATAACTTATTCTAAATGAAATAATCACATTTTTAATGGGAAGACTCTTATCTTGCCTCTATAGTTAGTGTAGTTAAATAATACATTTCTATTTACTTTCACTTATTTCTAATCAAAACTGTTGATGACACTGCTGTCTCAGATACAATTATGGTGTCTAAATCAACGTATGAAACCGATTAGGAATGTGTTAAAGGACCAAAGAACCATCTTCTGCCAGAGAGGGTAAGAGGCAATCGTTTCCACTGGGACTATTTTAAATGTGACACGCTGAGCCTGATCACTATGGTGTCTTCATGAATGAACAAACGGACGTTAACTTGATGATTATTTTTACCTTTGTACTTTAATATCAGTTGGTGATTTTCATCGGTTTACTTCTGACACGTTAGCATTACTAGCACCTGTTAGCATTACTGGTTAGCATACAATAGCTAACAGTTGGTAAATTTGTGGTGTTGCTCTTTAAAGGGGCATTGTGGAAGTCTGACAGCCAAAACATGTATAGAAATAATAAAAGTCTTCTTCATACGTTCTCCTGCAATGCCCTGGTCCTGTAAAATGAGCCCTGGCATTTTTACTGTGATTGCCTGTTTTTCTTTAAAATCACAGAAAAAGAGAGATGCTCGGGTCGAGCAGGCTGCTTCATGAGCGTTCATGCTCAGGCATAGCCCGTAGCATTTGCTATCCGTAGCTTTAGCAGCAGAGAGAGAGGCAGTGCCACTTTGTCGCTGTTCCTAACACCTAGTGACAAAGCTAGCTACATTTCTGAGGACCCTTAGCTACTTTCTGTAGAACTTTCTTCTAGATATTTCCTGCTAATTAGCAACAAAATAGCCATTTTCACTCCGAACCGTTCTTTGGTTTGACGTTGTTTCAGCTGCCATCAAGGATATAAATGCTGTAAATGTTACTAGAGTGTAGCTCACCTAGTAAGACGTCGGACTCTCATGCAGAAGACCTGGGTTTGATTCTGGATGTGAACATAGTTCATTTAGAGTTGCTTTTTTACATTAATGGAATATTTTTTACAGTAAGATGCCCAAATTTTTATTTGAGACTCGCCGAACGGCATTGAATTCACAGATAAAAAAGATGTGGGTTCAGCTTTCATTTTGGAACAATTCTTCAAGCAAGGGAAGGGAATGATCTGAGCATGCAGGAGGACTGACCCATCATAAACCTTTGTCGGCTGTGCTGAAGAGAAAGGTACAGAACCAAATTATTTAATTAGCTGTGCGTTCTCCTATCCTCGGTTCCCCCCCCCCCCCCCCCCCAACACACACACACGGGACTGTCTCAGCTGTTATTTTCATTGAGGAGTGTGCACGTACAGCATGCGCGCCTCGTGCACAAGCCTCCTATTGAAGCTGCCGTTACACTTTTGGCCTGAGGGGGCAATCGCGAGCATAAAAATTCACAAGTCCGTAAAGTCCCTTTTAAATAAAATGAAATGCAATATAAAAGGTTTTTAGGATGCTGTAGCACAGAATAAAGTAACTGAACTGAAGGATTGACTGAAAGCTGTTAATTCATTGTTGCTGTTTTCAAACACTTAACAAAAAAATAAACACACAAACTGATTTAAATCTGTCCAGAAAACGTTTTTTCCCAGAAAAACTATTTTATTGGAAAATATTCTGGTTATTTTGTTCAGCAACTTGCAAAATAAGTCAAAAGTAAAATAAAAAATATTTAAGTCATGATTTTTGTGGCCATTCATCTCCTAGAGATTTTGAATTATTTGAAATATTTTTGAGCATTTTTATTAATTTTCAGATTGATTTAAAATATTTTTATGGAAATTTCCTCAAATGCTGCATTTAGTCCTCTAATAATAAAAATCATACAAGCTAATCTTTGTTTTTGTTTTTTTTGTTTTTCCGTTAGCCTGTGGACTGGAGCTGGAACCGCCTTGCTGATAAAAAGTTTGATTTTGTGGATCACTTGCTGGTTGCTAACATTAAATCCAAAAAGGACAAAGATGCTCTGGAATTCTTCAAGCTGCTGTCCCTCTGTCACACAGTCATGGTGGAAAGCAACGATGGTAATCCTAAAGTTATATAAACCTGAGCTAGAACCACAATGGTTGAACCAAACAAAACCATATGGAACTAGGTGTTTGAGAACAGCACAATGAGAAGAAATCACCATTTAAAGAGCAAATCTAAAAAGTGTCTCCCTTTAGGTGAGCTGGTCTACCAGGCTGCATCTCCTGATGAAGGCGCTCTAGTGACTGCAGCCAGGAACTTCGGCTTCGTCTTCCTGTCTCGTACTCAGGACACCATCACCATCTCTGAAATGGGACGTGAGGCGACCTATGAAATGCTGGCATTGCTGGACTTCAACTCTGACCGAAAGCGCATGTCCATCGTCTGTAAGAACCTCACAAAAATATTCAACCCTTCTTGTGTCTTCATCCGTCCATCATCATCCGCTTATCTGGGGTCAGATCGTGGGGGGCAGCAGTCTAAGCAGGGAGGCCCAGACTTCCCTCTCCCCAGCTACTTGGGCCAGCTCCTCCAGGGCAATCCCAAGGCGTTCCCTGGCCAGCTGAGAGACATGGTCTCTCCAGCGTGTCCTGGGTCTTCCTTTAGGCCTCCTCAGGTTGGACGTGCCTGTAAAACCGCACCAGGGAGGCGTCCAGGAGGCATCCTAACTAGATGCCTGAGCGACCTCAACTCTGAGCCCCTCCCAGATGACAGAGCTTCTCTCCCTATCTTTAAGGGAGAGCCTAGCCACCCTGCAGAGAAAACTAATTTCAGCTGCTTGTATCTGTGATCTCGTTCTTTTGGTCACCACCCAAAACTCATGACCATAAGTGAGGGTAGGAAAGTAGATAGACTGGTAAACTGAGAGCTCCACAACAAACTTTCCCTCACTCGTGAACAAGACCAAGAGATACTTTAAACTCCTCCACTTGGGTCAGGACCTCATCTCTGACCTGGAGAAGGCGTTCTACCCTTTCCCGACTCGGGACCATGGTCTCAGATTTAGAGGAGCTGATTCTCATCCCAGCTGCTTCACACTCGGCTGCGAACCGCTCCGGAGAAAGCTGGAGATCACGTTGCCAACAGGATCACATCATCTGCAAAAAGCAGGGATCCGATCCTTAGTTCAACAAGACGGCAGTCTCGTCTTCATTCTTTAAGATGACTTCCAGTGCTTTCAAAATAAAAGCACAACTTTCTGACATAGTCCCGCTCTTGTCTATGATGGACATAGATTGATGGGCTGTCATCGGTCCAGTAAAGGATGATGTTGAGCTCTGTATCATCTGTATACAGTATAATTAAACTAGATCATTAGAGGAACTAAGTTCCCAATTTTGGGGAATATTATCGAAGATAAAGGCCGTCTAAAATGTTTAGTTTAGACTTTTGAACTCCACTTGAAATTTGTGATAATTGCTTTTTTCATGAGGTTTAGGTTAGGGAGCCTCTCTGCTTAAGTGGCCCCCCCCGCGACCCGACCCTGGATGAGCGGAGGGAAGTGGATTGATGGTTTAGGTTCTGCATTTAAGTTCTGTGCCTTACCTTTTGATTTCCAGTGAAGTTTCCTGACGGCCGTATTCGTCTGTACTGTAAAGGAGCCGACACGGTCATCTATGAGCGCCTCTCTCCTAACACCAGGCACAAAGACGCCACCCAGAGGGCTTTGGATGTGAGTACTTGTGCCTTCACTCTAGTTTGATTTCCACTCCAAATGTTTGTTTCCTCTCAATGGAAGAAAGACCTTCTGGATGTTTTTGTGTCTCAGATGTTCGCCAACGAGACCTTGCGGACTCTGTGTTTGTGTTACAAAGACATCAGCGCTAGCGAGTACGAATCCTGGTCCAGGAAACACAAAGATGCCCAATTGACCATGGTGGACCGGGACGCTGCTCTGGACCGGGTGTACGAGGAGATCGAGACCAACCTGATGGTTGGTAGAGCATTATTACAGCATTGGAACAAATTTCCCAAATGTTTTCCAACAAGTTGAAGAAATGTTAAACATTATTTGAATCCAGCTGATCGGAGCCACAGCTATCGAGGATAAACTGCAGGACGGGGTTCCGGAGACCATCGCCAAACTGGCGAAGGCTGACATCAGGATCTGGGTCTTAACTGGAGATAAGAAAGGTAACTAGACTGAATCTGAAATAAAATGGTTCAAAAAGGTGAATAAAAATGATTTGAAGCATTAGAAGTCATACTTCTCTCTCTTTCTTATCACCAGAAACGGCAGAAAACATTGGATATTCCTGCTCACTTCTGACAGACGACATGCAGGTTCACTACGGAGAAGACGTTAAGTAAGTCGGTTTAAAACGTTAAACGGATTAAGGAAGAAGTTGCACAACATCAGCTGTTTAGGCTGTGAGTCGCTGCTGCGGCAACACCCTCTCAGTCCGCCATGCAATCCCTGTATACGCCGCTTTTTTCATACAAGCAGCGTGGGCGGCGTGAGACTCTGGGCTAGGGCTGCAACGATATCGACAATAGAAACAGTCGACAATGAATTTCAGTGTCGACGTTGTTGCCAGACGTGTTTTTTTATGACCGAGTGAGGCATCTCACTTCATTACGATCTCTGCCGAGAGTTGCACGTGCGCAATAGCTTCTCTGCTGCCATGCTATTTTGAAATTGTGCTTTATAAATAAATATGGTATGGTGAAAATATGCTTAAAAAACGTACATCCAAAACAAAACGTATTTGATTTTGTGTTATTTAAATCTTACCGAGGTGAGTCAGACTGTTTCATTCAACTGTCCGACGTGCTTTCTCGTTAAGTGTTCATGCATCACCGAGGTGCTGCCGTGATACGCGAGGACTGCTTTACATATAATGCAGGTAAACTTTTTATTCGCCGAATCCCGGCTAGAATGCTCCCAAACTTTAGATGTTTCGGTACGCGTAGCTGCGGTGTTGGACGCCGCCATTTCTGTTAGCTGGCGCTCAGCTAACCAAAGTGCTGTACATAAAAAAGCCAAATGCTTGACCAAGAAACACAATAAGAACAGGCAAAATACATCAGAACAAAGCATAAATAGTCGGAGATAGAAATTCCTACTAAAAACAATAAAATAGGAGAACAGTTAACAGCACTATAAAATAAAATAATGCGACGAATGATAAAACATTTGAAATGGCACAAATAAAACAAAATTAAATACCAGATGGTGCGAGGTGCCAAAAGTGAGCAACTGAATCATAAAAACAGAATTAAAAACTCAAATCCGGCGCTAGATTGTCATGAAAAGTGTCACGGAGGGAAGGCAATGCTAAAGAAGTGCGTTTTCAGGGCCGACTTGAAACTCCAAACAGAGGGAGCCTTTTAAAATAGAGATTTAATGTTATGCCCGACTGTGCCTGACAAAAGTATTTTAACTTTATTTATGCATTTTTGTCTGTACTGACTGAGCACTGTGCCTAATTGGTGTTAGACGGCATTTTTATTTACTTTAGTATGAATCGGCCTATCAGCAGCAAAGTTCAATAAAATATGCGTTTTCCATTGAAGTACCCATCTTTCTTGTGTTTACTATAATTTTTCACATAATTACAGCAATCTCATGCTAAGTTAAAGAAAAATGTAATAATTATCCGATTAGTCGACTAATCGTTTCAATAGTCGGTGACTAGTCCACCATTAAAATAGTCGTTAGTTGCAGCCCTACTCTGGGACGGGGTGACTTGCTCTTTAAATATGATTAATAGTGCTCTTTACATCAAACGTCATTTATAGACTGCCTGTCCAAAAAACGTTGCCACCTGGAATTAACGTAGCAAGTGTGTACGAGCCTGTTGGATGAGTTTTGTTTAAAAACATTTCTTAAATAATTTTATTATTTTGGCGTAAAACAAATTTTAAAAAGCAGACCTGAGACTAGAGCTTGAATGTTTTTGCAGTGAGAAGCTGCGGATTCGTCAGGCCGACAGAAGAAACTCCGCTCCTCAGACGATCAGAGCTCGCAAAAAGAAACCAGCAGAGCCTTTCTTTCCTGGATCGGGCAAAAACGCTCTCATCATCACCGGAGGCTGGCTGGTTCGATTCATTCACTAATGAAACTCTGTATGTCGCCCTTTTCTCCATCTCTCTGACCAGTTGTTCTATTGTTTCTCACGGTCTAGAACGAGATTCTTTTCGAGAAAAAGAAGAAACGCCGCCGGCTCAAGCTCCGCCGTCTGGGAAGACGCCCACCGCCCACCAACCCTCAGGATGAACAACCGATGAACGACCTGGAAAAAGAACTGAGACAAGTAAAACTTTTTAACTCAAGCAGCTCGACATTAATTGTACCACTTTAACAAAAAACACCGGTTATCGGGGTTTTCCATTGTGGCTCGATTTCTGAGGATGAACATGGTTTGGGTGTGAATCTGACAACTCCTCAATTCAGTCAAATCCGATTCTCGGGTTTGCCAGTTGTCTGTGATGAAGTGGGTCGTTCTGGAAGTTAAAGCATCACTGTCTAGTGTTGCTGAAGCGGCTCTGCAATATCGCGTGGACATCGGGGACAGTCCCACTGGACTGGCAGACCGGGGTGGTGGTCCCCTTATTTAAAAAGGGGGACCGCAGGGTGTGTTCCAACTACAGTGGAATCACACTCCTGAGCCTTCCTGGTAAGGTCTATTCAGGGGTTCTGGAGAGGAGGGTCCTTCGGATTGTTGAACCTTAGATTCAGGAGGAGCAATGTGGTTTTTGTCCTGGCCGTGGAACACTGGACCTGCTCTATACCCTTAGGGGGATCCTGGAGGGTGCGTGGGAATTTGCCCAACCAGTCTACATGTGTTTTGTTGATCTGGAGAAGGCGTTTGACCGCGTCCCTTGGGGGACCCTGTGGGGGGTACTCCGGGAGTATGGGGTACCAGGCCCTCTGATACGGGCTGTTAGGTCCCTGTATGACCGGTGTCAGAGCTTGGTCCGCATTGCTGGCAGTAAGTCGGGCTCGTTCCCAGTGAGGGTTGGACTCCGCCAAGGCTGCCCTTTGTCACCGATTCTGTTCATAACCTTTATGGGCAGGATTTCTAGGTGCAGCCAAGGTGTGGAGGGCATCCGTTTTGGTGGCCTGAGGATCAGGTCTCTGCTTTTTGCAGATGATGTGGTACTGTTGGCTTCATCTGAATGTGATCTTCAGCTTTCGCTGGAGTGGTTCGCAGCAAAGTGTGAAGCAGCTGGGATGAGAATCAGCTCCTCTAAATCTGAGACCATGGTCTTGATTTGGAAAAGGGTAGAATACCTTCTCTGGGCCAGGGAGGAGGTCCTGCCCCAAGTGGAGGAGTTTAAATATCTCGGGGTCTTGTTCACGAGTGAGGGAAAACTGGAGCGTGAGATCGATAGGTGGATTGGTGCTGCATCTGCAGTGATGCGGGCGTTGTACCGGTCTGTCGTAGTGAAGAGAGAGCTGAGTCAGAAGGCGAAGCTCTCGATTTACCGGTCGATCTACGTTCCTACCCTCACCTATGGTCATGAGCTTTGGGTAGTGACCGAAAGAACGAGATCGCGGATACGAGCGGCCAAAATGAGTTTTCTCTGAAGAGTGGCTGGGCTCTCCCTTAGAGATGGGGTGAGAAGCTCGGTCATCCGGGAGGGGCTCGGAGTAGACCCGCTGCTCCTCCACATCGAGAGAAGCCAGTTGAGGTGGCTCGGGCATCTGGTCAGGATGCCTCCTGGACACCTCCCTGGTGAGGTTTTCCAGGCACGTCCAACCGGGAGGAGACCTAAAGGTAGACCCAGGACACGTTGGAGGGACTATGTCTCTCACCTGGCCAGGGAACGCCTTGGGATTCCCCCGGAGGAGCTGGCCCAAGTGGCTGGGGAGAGGGAAGTCTGGGCCTCTCGCCTTAGGCTACTGCCCCCGCGACCCGACTCTGGATAAGCGGATGAAAATGGATGGATGGATGTTTGGGAAGTATAGAAACTGGGAAATTCCGAATCCTTATAAATATGTCGTGAATCGATTTTGTTTTTTTTCCTGTTCCCTGAAACCTCTAGAACATGTAAGAGTATAGCAGCATATTTGAACATTTGCCAATAGAAATGACACATTTAACTATAGATGCACCGATTTTGGTTTTGAGGGCCATTATCAGTTTTATCTCCAACATCTCCAAAAACTTAAATTTATTCCTTGATTAGTTTAAAGATTCTGATTCAGGAAGTGATTCAGAACCGTTTGCATTTTAGACCAGTGATGATCCATTCCCAGTTAATGTAGTTGTGGTTACGATCACCAGCTGATTCAACAGCTTATCTTGTAAATTTAAACATCAGTCAAACTTGAACATTGAATTTCTTGAATTTTATGTAGCCTGATCTTGGATCTGGTTAAAAAACTCGCGTTAAACATCCCTGTGGAAAATACAATAATAAACTAGCAGAAGACATTTTATCCAACTGCTTTAGACCAAAAAAGTTTTATATGTAAAATTTTGTGACATTGGTTACGTTATTGAGATAACAATCGTTTGTCGATATGTGGAGCAACCTCGCACAATGTATTGATTATGTATCTGGGCTATTTAATCTAAATTCATTGTTCATATGATCGTATTTGTCCATAGATCGACTTTGTAGACATGGCCTGTGAGTGTGAAGCCGTCATCTGCTGTCGCGTCACGCCGAAACAAAAAGCTAACGTGGTGAGTTTGGTGAAGAAGTACAAGAAGGCCGTGACGCTGTCCATCGGAGACGGCGCCAACGACGTCAACATGATCAAGAGTGAGGACCGGTCTTTATTTTCTGTCCACGTCCCTGTGAGCTCTCTGATCCTCGTCCTTTGTCCCTCCAGCTGCCGACATCGGTGTGGGGATCAGCGGTCAGGAGGGGATGCAGGCGGTCATGTCCAGCGACTTCGCCTTTGCCCAGTTCCGTTACCTTCAGCGCCTCCTGCTGGTGCACGGGCGCTGGTCCTACATCAGAATGTGCAAGTTCCTGCGTTACTTCTTCTTCAAGAACTTTGCCTTCACTCTGGTCCACTTCTGGTACTCCTTCTTCAACGGATACTCCGCACAGGTGGGCAGCAATGCTCAGATCTCAGTGTTTTTGTTGACTTTGGTGTGGAGGTGGAGTCTGGTCTAAAGAAAAATACAGCGGAAGGTGGTTGTCCGGTCTCTGATGGAATGAGTCCAGTTTCTACAGAACATTCAGGGCCAGTGATGTTTTGTTACCTTTTAAAAATTAAAACGAGACTTTTCCTTCCTGCAGACAGTCTATGAGGACTGGTTCATCACGCTCTACAATCTGGCCTACAGCAGTTTACCCGTTCTGCTTGTTGGACTTCTTGATCAGGTACAAACTGGTTTGGGTTTGGATCACGGGGACATAACGAGGTGCACAAATGTCCTAAAATGACCAGCGCTTTCTTAACTGCTTAAAAATGTAATGCCATTCGAATACGTTCACGCCATTCATCTGGACTGGAACTTCTGTTATTTTTGGCAAATCAAACATTCTGCAGACATTTCGAGTCTGACTAGATTTTACTGATTGGTGTCAAAAATCTACGTGTTATTTATTTTTTTAATGCAGGTTTAAACTCAAACTGGTTATCTTCTGATTCTGTTCACTCATTCGCTGCCAGCGTTTCTTACCGTTTTTACAGTTTTTTTAAAGAGTGACAAAACGTTGCGCGCTACGATGATGTCGACGCCCAAACAACCAAAACAAAGAGGAGACTCACCTCTTGCATCAGGAAGAATCCGCACGTTTCGAGCGTTATCCGTTCATAATCTGTTGTTGAATTGTGATCGGCAGAAGCTTTTCTGGTTCGCACCTCACTTTTTATTACAGCAGCGGCCCAGAATGATCTCCTAACACATGGATGTTCTGCTTCCTGATCACGAGACGTGTGACGTATGCGGATGAAGATTGGCTTTTAGAGCTGAGATGTTTGTTCTCACGGTGTGGGGGCTCGTCCGACGCCCACACAGTAAAAACATGCAAATGACTACTTAAGTCGTCATTGGCAGTGAACGAGTTAAAAGTGACTTTTCACCAAGTAACAAAGCTTTTGGGTCCAAAATTTTCAGGGAAAATTTCTCATTTGTGTTAATTTTTTGAATATTTTACTGAAACCCAAACTGAAACCAGAAAATCTTTTGTATGTTAAAAATAAAAACATAAAAATAAATGTGTTGTTTCCTTCCTCCTCCTCCTGCAGGACGTGAACGACAGACTGAGTCTGAAGTTTCCTAAACTCTACCTCCCTGGCCAGCAGGAGACGATGTTCAACTACAAGAACTTCTTCATCAGTTTGTTCCATGGAATCTTCGTCTCTCTCATCATCTTCTTCATTCCTTACGGAGCGTTCCTGCAGACGATGGGGCAGGATGGAGAAGCTCCGTCAGACCTGCAGTCCTTTGCCGTGGTAACCGCCTCGTCTCTGATTTTCACAGTCAACCTGCAGGTGAGTCACCTGGTCCGAACCATCGCTGCTTCAGGAGTCGACGAGCTTATTTAATGTTTTTCAGTTTGCTAAACAATCTTAAAACATCATAATGGAGGAAGATTTGGAGTTAAAAGGGATTTTTTACGTAATTTCAAACAGGTGTTTTTCATGATTTAGTGTTAAATCGGTTTCTACATCGGTCTGATGGTCAAACGTTCAGACCAGAACTTGTGACAGAAAACTGACGGGACTAAAACCCAACGGTCTTGTTGGGCAGATCTCTCTGGACACGTCATACTGGACCTTCGTCAACTGCTTTGCCGTTCTGGGTAGCATCGCCATCTACTTTGGGATCATGTTCGACATCCACAGCGCAGGGATTCATGTCATCTTCCCCTCGATTTTCACCTTCACAGGTCAGTCAGTGGGGAGGATGCTGAAAGGTGGAGAGGAGCTGAAAACGAAGTGTCATCTTGTAACCATGTTTGTGTCTTTAGGCGCGGCGCCCAATGCCCTGCGTCAGCCATACCTGTGGTTAACCATCATCCTGACGGTGGGCATGAGTCTGCTGCCCGTCATCTGCATCCAGTTCCTCTACAAAACCATCTGGCCTTCAGTAGGAGACAAGGTGAGACCAACAACGTCCACGTTTAGCCTTGTGGAGTCCTTTTCAGCTCTCTGAAGTGCTGAAAGATCAGAACCGGCCCAAACCAGGCTGCTGGGATCAGCGGTTTGTGCTACAGTGCATCACGGGTAAAGCTCTCTCGTTCGGGACACAACTGTTGGGGTGCTTCTCAATGTCAAGCCCCCTGGCCTCGCGAGGCGATGTCTGGCGAGGCCAGGCGCCTTGCTTACGAGAACACCGTCCTTCCTCGGTCAAAGAAAAGGGTTAAACGAAACAGAACTGCATCATGTGACCGCGGCCTACACGTCACATGACACGTGAGGCAACGTTATATTTTATACGTGTAAGTTTCGATATAAATGTATAGCAAGCCTTTTACTGTTAAAAATACATTAAAGATGTAAGTGAGTTACTACCTGATAGCCACCAAAGATGCAACTAACCAACCATAGCTAACGTTTCAGATTTCAGCCTGATGGCCACAGTTAGCAGACTTGCGTCTATACTGGGCTCCCAAAGTAGCTGCCAGCTTCCTTTTGAAAATACCGCGCTGTATTCTGGGAATTTGTTCCTCGACATTGAGGAACGCCCTAAATCTGCTCTAAGCTACTGTAACCTTTGACCTTTTTAATGGAATTCTGAGCATTGACCTCTGACCTCAAGGAAACCTCCACTCCTAGATCAGGGACTGTCTTGGATATTTTCCCCCTTGTGTCTCTGTAGAATAATAGTCTCCAAACACATTTAGAGACGACCTTTGACCCTTCCAGATTGACAGAAAGCCACAGATTTATTTAACCAGGTGAGTCGACGGAGAATCGTTGTCATTTACGGCCAAGAAATATGACGGCAAAGCTGTTACAGCGGGACCTCATAAAGGCCGTCGTCACTCAGACTTTCATCTGAGTAATCTGGACGTCTGAAGGCAGTCAGAAGCTCTTTGGTGTTACTGATCGTGTCGAGTTGAGGGCAGATGTGAGATTTAGAAGAGTTTAGTGGTTTTTGCAGCTCATTCCGGTCGTTTGGAGCAGGAAAATGAAATTGGAACGGCCAAAAGTGGTGCAGGCTTTGGAATGATCCTGGAGAGTAAGTGGAGCATAAATTATGATGGATAATAGGGAAAGCTGCTGCTCTTGTGCCTTTTCTTATGTTAACACACACCTGTATACTCCAGAGAAACCAACTGAATGCACCACCTTCATGAAGTTTTAGTTGCAGGAATATATTTTGGCCTTTTGGAGGAAGTCTGTTTTTAAAAGGTCCCGACAGAGAAGACTAAATAAGACCCAATGCTGAACTTGGAGGTGATTTTCTGCTCTTAAAGACAAACTTTTCCCATCCTCTTCCAGGTGCAGAAAAACAGGAAGAAGTACGAAGAAGACCTGAAGAGGAGTGAGGAAGAAGAGGCGAGAAGGAAAAGGCCAGCGTTCCAGAGGGATCGGCCTTCGCGTCGCTCGGCGTACGCCTTCTCTCACACCCCCGGCTATGCCAACCTCATCTCCACTGGGCGGAGCATTCGACGGCGTCCTCAGGCCCGCGGAGGTCCCCAGGACGGCACCAGAGAGCATTCTCGCAGAGATGCCCAAGCCATGTGAGCGGAGCCACAGCTGGAGGAGCTGTAAACATCTGGGAGCGACTTAATTTCTGTGGAGTCGCTGAACAGCTCCAACTTGGTTTTTATTCTAGCGTTTGAACATTGAAGTGCCTCTGACCGGTGAAGCTCCAGTTTCACCATTTATGCATGAACTCTAACAGAAAAACTCACCGAAGAAACCACCGCCGTCACCGGGGGTCAGAGGTCATGCAGCTCCAGCAAGACCACAATGTTCCTTAACTCAGGATTTTCCTTTTAAATGCGTCTCTTTTATTGAGCCAGTTCTGTTCCACACCGGTACGACTGACGTGAAACGTCATTTAAATCTCTAAACAGATCGAGCCTCACCTCTTCTCGGCACTTAGAACGACGTTTTAACACATTTTAGAAATCATGTCCAATTACATTAATTTTGACATCTGGGTTTTATCTTCCCTTTCCTTCAGATTAAAACTGAAATAAGGCTAAACTGTCAGAATACCTTCTGCTTTACTCGGATTAGTGGTGGGATATTGGTGAACCTGGCTGTGTGAGGTGTTTGAGCAAAATCACTGTTTTTGGTTAGACATTGTATGAAATCACTGATTGGATTAACTTTTGTCCTTTTTTAAAAGATTTTTTTAGGAACTTTTTTTTCCCCATTATTGGTTTTCTTCTCAGATTTGTTTTAAATTCCTATAAAACAAATAAAAATGTTTTTTTTTATTTACCATCTATACGTTTTAGATTTAACGTGTATCCAGATGCTTCTAACTCCTGTGGGTGAAGCCTTGGTGGTGTTATGAGTTTGTTGGTACAGGAGCCCCGTCTTATAATTTCTTTGTTTGTTTTCAAAAAAAATCTGTGTTCGTGTTCTGAATTACCGCGTTAAACATATTCAGGCCTTTATTCAGAAAATTGGGACGGAACGTTAAACTCTTAATCCGACTGTCACGGATCTATCTGATATGACTATTACTGATCCGATGGTCCCGTTACCGGTCCCAACCAGACTGGTACCAGTCCTGTAGGTCAGAACTGCTGCTCAGTAACAGTTTCTTCCTATGATGTGGTTTTGTCATGTGGTTGTTAATAAAAGCCAAGGGCACATTTAGCAGTTTAACTTGTTTTTTTTAAATCAGGGTTTTCTGATTAATGACTGGTTTTGTTGACAATGGTAACATTTATTACTGATCAGGTAATAAAAACAACCACAAAAGCCTGGAGGAGTTAATTTGTCTACATCTGGAGTCAGAATTGGAGGAAATTGCATGTTTCATTATTGCTTAACCCAACCCTAAAATTTAAAACTATCAAATAACCACAAAATTTGTCCTTAAAACAAATGACAAGTTTAATTCGCCACACACACACACACACACACACACACACGGGAATAACTGGGACTCGCGATACAAACTCGTTCTGGCTGATTTCTGCCTAAAATGTAATAAAAAAAAATATATACAAACGAAAAATATCTATAAACTGAACCGCTTTAAGCTTTTAAGGTTTCTATGGCTAGCTCTTAACAAACTTACTTTTAAAACTTCGTAGCTCTCCCCATTTTCTCTGCCTGTTGAAAATCCACTGCCGGCGCGCAAAGCATGCTGGGATAGCCTTGTTCTGTGAGGATACAACAGACCCATCCTCAAAATGTGGGCGGAGCAAGGACGCGTTTGAGGACGTGAGAATGAGTATTCATGGAATTCGGACAGTACTCGTCGCTGCACTGTGACGTCATTGCACTCTTACAAGCATCCTTTCCGTGGATTCGGACACACCCCATATCTCTCCTGTCTTAGCTTCCCTACATTAGCTGCCTGTTAGTCAGAATAGATTTTAAGATCCTCCTAACATATAATGCTCTTACCAATCAAGCTCCATCATACATCAGTGACCTGATTGTTCCATACGTTCCTAACAGAGCACTTTGCTCTCAGACTGCAGGTTTACTGGTGGTTCCAGAATATCTAAAAAGAGGATGGAAGGCAGATCTTTTAGTTATCAGGCTCCTCTCTTGTGGAACCATCTCCCAGCTTTAGTCCGTGAGGCAGACACCTTGTCTACTTTTAAGACTAGGCTTAAAACATTTTATTTGATAGGGCTGAACCCTGTAAACATGTTTATTTCTGCTGTGAAATTGGTATTTTTAACATGGGAGTCAATGAGGATTTACTCGTTTCTGACACCAGCCCCCAGCGGATGAGGGTGGAACTGCAATTTATTTCACTTCCGGGTTTGACTCAATTTCAGAGCTGCATTGTGGGGGGCCTGGTGGGAACGTTGATTTTGCCGTACAGTGACGTAATCACCCCCAAGCAATCTGAACTGGAAGCCCTAGCAGATCTGGTATGACAGCTCATTTTGTAAGGTATTTAAAGAAGTGGTAATGCCCCCCTCAGAGTCTTACTCCACCCACGTATCAATTCTAAAAACTGCAACATTAGTAGGCGTTGCCTGGAGGACCAAGAGGGCGGAGGCGCGGCAGTGACGAAGACGATGGCTAACTAGACGATGCTAGCTCCCTTCACTCTGAGCAGTTATTAGAAGTGGAGGACGTTTCTCCCCCTCCTTAACCAGACACTCGAGAAGAAAGGAACCAAGTCTATTTGGAGGAGACAAGCGGACCTGAGCCTTATTGTTTTGAGCTTGTGAGTTGCCTGAAACTAGCGGAACCGACCCAACAGAACCAGCTCTGAATGGTAAGTAGCCGTTAGCCATAGCATTGGATTAGCTGCAGGGTTTGTCTCCACGGCCCTAGAGAGCTGGTATTCAGCATGTTTTAGAGATTTATCTGCTTCAACACACCTGGTTTTAATCAGCAACAAATAGCTGAGCTGCTTAACAGCTAATCCAACCTGTTAAAGCAGGAAAACCACTGAAACGTGCTGGATAGCAGCTGTCCAGGAGCCCTGGGCTTAAGTTACAGTCTGCTGCATAGAAAGTTATGAAAATACCCCATGATAGAATTATTCTGTAATGTGTTCAGCCCACTAAAACTGCCCTGATTTCATTATTTATTTACTGATACTAGCTGCTTTCTTGGTTGTAGGTGATTCTCTGGTGTCTGCAGCTGGTCTCCTCTGCTGGTGTCGTCAGGATCAGGAGCTTCCAGAAGAATGTGCCTTTCAATGACTCTTTCCCCCTTATTTTAATTATATTAATTAAATCTCAATTTATATATTTCCTGTTTTTGTTCATGTCCATAAATACTTAAACATGCTTGAAATTAAAACGAGCTTTTAACAGTGAGGTGCTAGTATAATTCATCACAATAGAGCTAGTTAAACATGCAACAATGTGATAATTCAATTAATGAAATATATAAATATCCATTAAAATATCAAAACTGGAATCAAAATGAGATATTTGGCAGCACAAAAAACTTGTCAAACACAATATTTATTATAATAATTGTAGGCAGAGAGGAGACAGAGCTGATGGAGGTTCTCAGTCATCGAAGGATGGCTGAAGGCTTTCCAGGAACAGGAGATGTGGAGTTGTCTCTTCTCTCTATTCTGCCAGATGAGCTGATAGGTTACAGGTATGTGAGGACATCCTCATGCTGTCATAACCAGATGACAGGATTTATCAGGTGATCAGCCAGGCTAATGATGAGATGCAGAAAGAAAACAAATCCAGGACAGTGTACAGTAATAAAAATAATATGTGGTGTTGCTCACCTTATGTGCTCTTATAGAGTATTAACGTGTGCCTGCCTCATGGTGTAGAGTCCATATTTTGCTGAGTGTCCTGCAATAATGCAGGTTATTAGATAATTTACTTTTGATAGCAAAAACAAAATATTTAATGTAAAAGTTATTTACCAGGTGAATCAGCTCACACGTCACCACCAAGTGTCACAGGGCCAGCATCAGTAGCCTCCTTCATGATGTCATGATGTAGTCACATACTTATTTAATTGTTAATATCTTAAATTCTGAAATGTTTTAAATTTTTTTTTTACCTTGAACAGTTCATTGAGCTTGCATTGTCACTGAGGTGGAAGCTGGAATCAACAGCAGACACCTCACATCTTGGTCTTTTCAGGGGTGTGGACGCTGCTCTTGGACTTTCTGGAAGATGAATTTCCGTCATGGTCCCTGTGTCACAAGACACACTGAGGCTGTGAGCTCTATTCTGGGTGGCTATGTAAAAAACAAAGAAGTAGCACATTTATAAATGTTTAAAAGAGTGTCACACAGTGGAATGTGTGTTTTCTGTTGCTTTAAATTATTTTATTAATTGTTGGATTTTCTTAATATTTTTGTGTTATTGCATGATTTTGTCGTGTGTTGTTGGTTTTATGTGCCTGTTTAGTTTAGATTGTTTTGCCACTGTTGACATGACAGTCCCCTGAAGAGGTGGGCGTGACTGGGAAAGCGCACCAGGTGCGCATAGTTAGCAGGCTGATAAAGGGAAGAAGCTGCAGAACTGAGGAAGGAGAGAGGAAAAAGAGACCAAAGAAACAAGAAGGCAGAGGGACTGGACTAATATAGGTGGACGTAGCACAGAACGCGTTGGATCGCAGGAGGACCGGTTCATCCCTGGCGTGCAGCGATAACGAGTGGGAGCAACGCCTTTGAATGACAGCAGGGCAGAGGTTGGACCTCTGCCTGCATCCGTGAGTAAACGGCTTCCTCTGTTGTATGCTGGGTGACGCGCCGTATAGGCCGATCCTACGAGAAAGAGATTGCACTGCGCCACAGACAAAAGTTCTGCCCCAGTGTTCTGTCCTTGTCAGGGAGGAGCGGCGAGAGCCCCCGGGAGATCAAACCTGAGACGAGTGCCTGCTGAGAGCGAGACCAGAGACTGCTGGAGTCGGACGCTGAAGCCGGAACACCACCTTTCCCATCCTGGAAATTCCCTCCGCGTGACGTTGTGGATCTGGGAGGAGCCCAACTATCTTTTGGGGTCTTTTTGAAGAACATGTTTTAAACTGCTTTTATGGACTCAAACTTTTTAGTTTTATATTTTTAGATGGGGGCTTTTATTTAGTTAATAAAAGAGGTTGCAGGCAAACTTCTGCTCTCTGGTGTCTCTGTCCCTCTGGTTTTGCACCCTCGTTCTCCACCTGTGTCATTGTGAATCCCTGTGTGACGCTGGAGCTCTGCCGCTCCAGCGTTGCCTAGGTTACAAGAGCATAAAATCACATGTAACAATAATCTGTAAAACAAATTAAAACTAGAAGGTAATAAGTTTTACATAGAAGTTTATTAAAAATAATTCACCTTTGCTACGGGTAAGGCTTCACGTCAGGCTGGACAAATGCATTCTTGCACACTAGTAAATCAGTCTGACAGCCAATTTCTTGGGTAGATTTAGCCTGAAAAAAAAGAAGCACATTGTTGTTGGAGTTTATAAAGTCAGATAATATACAAAAGAAACTGCCCAATATAGGCGCTTTATAACATTCCTAGTGTGTGATCGTTATTATAATGTAAAAGTCAGTCACATATGATGTGGAGAGCCTGAAATGCGACCTCCTGAACAGAATTCCTCACGGAACCGGGTCACAAGCTGGATTTCACGCTGTAATGCTGTCTGTCAACTAGTGCTGCATTAGTTAGTCACTGTTGCAGAATTACCGACTGACACAAAAACAACCCGAATTTTCTCCGAGCCTGACAGTAATAGTCATGCGTACCGTTTCGTCAGCCAGGGCTTCGAGACATGTTCCGATTCGTCGCTGATTCTAACCTTACATCCCGTTCCACATTTTGTGAACTTGACAAATCTAACCGAAGGCAGCGCAGGCTGATATTAGCTAAATGAAGTGAACCACATCTCTCAAACTTTGCATTTAGGTAGGAGATTGTCTTTAGAAGATGTTTAAACTTTTATTTAGCTTACTCACCTCAGACTGGAGCCCGCCATGGTGGGGGAGCAGAGTCGGTGGGCTGCATCTAAATCGCGGAAGAGCCACGGTGGGCACGGCCTCCCTCTTCAAACGGAGACGTGCAGAATCGCGGATAAAACTACAGCACCAGGCAGGAGCTGAATGTTTTCCAGACACCGATTGCGCAACCACTGGCGCCTAATTTCTAAGTCCAGCGGAAAGGAGTGAAACCCCACAGAGCCACCGCAACCACACTACACTACACCTTCTCACCA